TGTGAAGGGGAGTGAAAAGATAACGGGATGAGAAGCAAGCAACAAGTTTCTACATTTCTCCTATATTTCAACCAAGCAAAATGTGCCTTTGAGAATGTGACTGTATATACGTAATAGTGACGTATACTCTATTGTTTTCTATGTATAAAAGGTTAAGCACCGCCCTGCAATAAACCAGAGATGAGATGATGTGAAAGTGGTTTTTACTGGACAGTTGTCCGTGTAATTATTTTCCGGCGTGCACGCAATCCATATCTCAAAATTAGGAACAGCAGCAGAAATCCTACCCTGAGCCCAATTGTGGTTCTCCAACCTTTTTAATAGTAATTCATTCCCCATAGTAATTCATCCCCCCTATAGTAGTAATTCATTCCCCATATTGTGTCAATTCACTTACCTTTGCTCCGCGCGTTCCTCTTGCCGTGTTCCCGCGCCGTTCCGGTCTCAGGGCGGACTGTGAGAGGAGCCTAGCTCCCCTCACGTTCATCACGCTGCCCCGCCTACACACATTCTGACAGCCAATGTATCCCGCGCCGTTCCGGTCTTCAGGGCGGACTGTGAGAGGAGAGGAGTTCGTCACGCTGCCCCGCCTACATCCTGACAGCCAATGTTTGCCACGCTGAAACCCTATTGCCTGTCACCTGGTGGGCAGTGTGCTCCAGAGCCGCAGCAAAGGTGAAAAAGAGCCGCATGCGGCTCTGGAGCCGCGGGTTGCCGACACCCGGTCTAGAGTGACGCCTAGGACTTTGGCTTCCGGGGTGGGACTGATGTGGCGTTATTGGTCATGATGGAGAGGATAGGGGGAGGCGCGGGCTAGGGGGAATACTAGGAGCTTGTTTTGAAAAGGTTTAGTTTGAGGAAGTGGAGTGACATCCAGTCTGATATGTCGTTCAGTAGGCAGGTGATTCGGGCGGAGACTGAAGGGTTGAGGTGAGGGGTGGAGAGGTAAATTTGCATGTCATCAGCGTAGAGATGGTAGTTGAAGCCGTGGGAGTGTATCAGTTGGCCAAGGGAGGAGGTGTAGATGGAGAAGAGAAGGGGGAGGTGGCAGCGTTATAGGTAACACTGAAGGAGCGCTGGGATAGATAGGAGGAGAGCCAGGAGAGAGTGGAGTCTCTGATGCCAAGGGAGTAACATTTTTTAAGGAGGAGGGGGTGGTCAACTGTGTTGAAGGCCGCAGAGAGGTCGAGGAGTAGGAGGACTGAGTAGTGGCCATTAGCTTTGGTGGTTAGCAGGTCGTCGGTGATCTTAAGTAGGGCGGTTTCGGTGAAGTGTAGGGGATGGAAGCCAGACTGTAGGGGATCGAGGAGGTTGTTGTCGTTGAGGTGGGCGCTAAGGCGATTATAGACTAAGCGCTCGAGGAGTTTGGATGTGAATGGCAGCAGGGAGATCGGTCTAAGGTTGTTCAGGTCGGTGGGGTCCAGGGAGGGTTTTTTGAATATGGGAGTGATATGCGCATGCTTTAGGGGGGAGGGGAATGCGCCAGTAGAGAGGAAGAGATTGAAGATGTGGGTGAGGGAGGGTAGGATGGAGGAGGAGGGTGACCGGAGGAGTTGTATGGGGACAGGGTCAAGGGGGCAGGTGGTGTGGCGGGATTCAGAGAAGACCTTAGTGGCCTCTTCAGTGGTAGCAAGGCTGAAGGAGTGGAGTGTTTGGGGGGGTTCTAGTGTGCGGGATGTTAGGTGTGGTGGGGGTCAGAGCAGTTGTGGGGTCAGAGGAGGGGAGTGTTGAGGGGGTTATCGTGGGAGGGAGGCTAGGTGGGTGGAAGATTGAGCATTGGCAATGTCCTTACGAATTACGTTGATCTTGTTTTGGAAGTGGTTAGCAATCTCGTGTGCGATAAGTGAGGTACTGGGTGGAGATGGGAGGGGGAGAGAGAAGGAAGTTAAAAGTAAAGAAGAGTCGGCGGGGACTGGAAGAGAGAGTATTGATGAGGGTTACAAAGTAGGCTTGTTTGGCAGCGTGGAGGGAGGAGGAGGTGTAGGTGAGGAAAGCGGATTTGTAAAGGGTGAACGCTTGAAGGGATCTGGTTTTGCGCCATAATAGCTCCAGCACATGACTGCGTCGTTTCAGATTTTTTGTGTGGTCGTTCTGCCAGGGTTGAAGCGGTCGGGGTCTAATGCTACGTGTGGTTAGGGGTGCTAAGGAGTCTAGGGCGGCTGACAACGAGTTGTTATAGGCAGTGGTGGCCAGGTCAGGGAAGGACAGTGGAAGGATACTGTCGTAGAGTCAGTCAGCTGCAGAATGGAGAGGGGCAGGGTTCAGGTTGCGGAGGTTATGGCTGGTGATGGTTTGACGTTTGGGCGGGAGGTGTTTGAGGGCGGGAGATGGAGAACGTAATGAGGTTGTGGTCAGAGGGAGGGAAAGGGGTGTTTGTGAGGTTGTGGTGGGTGCAGAGATGTGAGAAAATGAGGTCAAGGGTGTTCCCGTCGGAGTGGTGGGGGGACTGTATACACCCAAAAGAAGAGGTTAGGTGGAGGAGTTTGGAAGTAGCCGGGTTATTGACGTTGATAGGGATATTGAAGTCTCCAAGGATGATGGTGGGTAGCTCAGAGGAGAGGAAGAAGGGTAGCCAGGTGGAGAAATCGTCAAGGAAGCGGGATACGGGTCCAGGAGGCCGATAGATTACTACAATCCTCAGAGGGGTGGGAGAGAATAGCCAGATGCAGTGGTCCTCAAAAGATTAGAAGGACAGAGGGGGGGGTTTGGGAGGACCTGAAAGGTGCTCAGTGGGACAAGAGCATGCGGAGCCTGCCACCTTTACGAACGCTCGATCTGGGTGAATGGGTCCAGACGAGACCTCCATAGGAGAGTGCTGCAGGGGAGGTAGAGTCAGTGGCTTGGATCCAGGTTTCGGTGACCACTAGGAGGCTGAGGGAGTGGGAGATAAAGAGGTCATGGATGGCAGTAAGCTTGTTGCAAACTGATCGGGCGTTCAGGAGTGCACACGAGAATGGAGGGGTGGATGTGGGGGCAGGGGGGGACAGGTATTAGGTTGAGGGGGTGTTGCGGCAGTTTGTGGGAGTAGGAGGGTGCCTAGTGGGTGAGTGAGGTGGTGGGGGACCAGGGTTCGAGGAGATGTCCCCAGCGGTTAGGAGAAGAAGAAGGGTAAGAAAGGTGGCATGGGAGCGGGATGTGCAGGAGCGTGTAAGTCTGCTAGTGTGGTGGCGTGTGGGTCGGTGGGAGAGTGGAGTATTAGGAGGAGGTGGTGAGAGCCATAGTGGGGAGATGGAAGCAGTTGTTTTGGGGGAGAAGGGGGGCAGAGAGAGAAGATTTTGGGAATGGAGGAGAGGAGTATGAGGAGGAGAAGTACAGGTGGCATATTAGGAGGGTAAGCGGAGTGGTGGTCAGGAGAGGGAAGTGAAAGGTTTCTCAGGGTGCATTGTTGCGGAAAGTCCATTGTGCAGTGGCAAATCACATAGACGTGGCTTCTTGTAGCAGGGGTTCGAGGGATTAGGATCTGGGTGGATAGAGATCAGTTTGGCAACTTATAGGTTGTAAGTTCCAGTTTGCGTGAGTCCCAGGTTGGAAGGTTATGAGGGAGTCGCCAGGTGGGTTGCAGGTCAGGATGGGGTTGAATATCGATGGGCACGGGAGGTCTCGGATGGTAGGCCTCACCAAGGCAGGGCCGTTCTCGGGGGTAGGGTCGCTCGCCAAGTCCACTTTGGGGGGGTCAATAGAGGGGCCTCGGGTCAGGGTCGGGCCGCGTCTTGGTAGGCAGTGGCAGGTCTTGCTACTCATGGGGGTGGGCAGGAGGGCCTCAGGGCCAGGTCAGGCCACTACGTGGAAGGCTGAGTCAGGTCTCGTAGTCCAGGCTCATCTGTGGGTTCAGTAGGAGAAGGAGGTGGGGACTGCAGGCTCACGGTTGTAGGGAGCATGCCGTAGTGGGTCTAGATGATCTTTTAGACTGCAGACTCCCTGCTGGGTGAATTGCCAGAGGAGCGTGCAGGGGTAGGCCTTGGTAGGCCTCGCCAGGCCGGGTATTGTAGTTGCCTAGGAGGGGGGGACTGGGTGACACCGCTCCACCCTCCAGGTGCGTGTGAGGTTGGGGGGTCTTCATTGCTCACCTTTTTTCGATTTTGGTGCTGTGGAAGAGTGGTGGGTGGCGGGATCTCTGCTGTAGGCTGCGTGCTTGGTCAGCGCAGGCCGCTCCCCTCCGCCAGGTGTGGGTAGGGTAGGGGAGGCCTTCAGAGCTCACCCTGTTGCTGGCTGTTGCAGGTACGCCTGTTTGCTGGGTGCAGGGTGGCCTGGAGTGGACCCTGAGCCGATGGGTTCAGGCTGCTGGCTGGGTGCTGGCTGTTGTAGGGTGCTGGGTGGCCTGGAGTGGCCTCTGGGGTGCCGGCTGCTGGCTGCTGGCTGGGTGCTGGGCACTGGTTGTTGCAGGGTTCTGGGTGGCCTGGAGTGGCCCCTGGGCCGAGGCTGGGTGCCGGCTTCTGGCTGGGTGCTGGGCACTGGTTGTTGCAAGGTGCTGGGTGTCCTGGAGTGGCCCCTGGGCTGAGGCTGGATGTTGGTTGCTGGCTGTTGCAGGGTGCTGGGTGGCCTGGAATCAGCCCCTGGGCCGAGGCTGGGTGCCGGTTGCTGGGTGCCAGGTGCGGTTGCTGGGTGCCGAATACATAAAGATATGCCTAGCTACAAATAGTGCTGGTTGTCACACACAGTAGACGCGATCGAGTGCCGTCTGTCAGAGGACTCCACACAGAGATTTACTAATAAACAGCGTCTAAAAAGAAAGCGTCCACAGCAGACGGCTAAAATGTGGTCTGCACATGCGCATTTATATCCATCCATAGATGCTGGAAGTGTCTAGTTCTTCACTGTCATGACTTCCTTTAACTGCCTCCCGCCTGCCATATAACGCAATGACGGGTGCAAGGTGGTTCTCTCATTCTGGGAGGACTTCATATGACGTCATCCCATTCTAACCGTGCATGCGCGGCTCCGGGAGCGCGCAGCACGGCGACCAGAGGTGCGCTGTGCCCCTCGGACCAGCGGATCACCGATCAACGGAAAGAGCCGAAGATGTCCTCTCGGTCATGTGATCAGCTGTGTCCAATCACAGCTGATCGCATGTAAATAGGGAAATACCGGTTATCGGCATTTTTCTCTCCTCACGAGCTGCCACACTGACAGCTCGAGAGGAGAGGAGAGCCGGTAACTGGCATTCCTCGGAGGAGACATGTACACTGATCATCACGGCACTGATGATCAGTGTTCCCTAATGATCAGTGTAGCCCCAGCAGTGCCACCTGTCAGTGTCCATCAATGCCAGCTGTCAGTGCTCATCAGTGCCACCTGCCAGTGCCCATCAGTGCCACATATCAGTGCCTACCAGTGCACATCAATGCAACATATCAGTGCCCATCTGAGCTGCCTTTCAGTGTCACTTATCAGTGCCAGTCAGTGCCACCTATCAATGCCAGTCAGTGCCACCTATTAGTGCTATATATATATATCTCTCCAATATGCTACCCCTTAACAGAAAAAAAATCACCAACTGTGAAAATGATCTTAAAATATAATCACACAAAATTATCCAAAAATTAAGCAAATTGTGTCCAAAATTAAAGTCAATCCTGATACTGAAAAATTGCGTACTTGTGTCCCAAAAATAAAGTCATATAAGTAGCGATTCCAAAATAAATTATGATTAAGTCCAATTTTGAAACGCGTCAAGGAAAGTGATGTCAGATGCAAACGGAGGAACGGGAAGTGGCGGAGCGGCCATTTTGGAAATTGGAAAATCCCTACGAAACACTCCTGGAAGCTGCTCGGACTACACAGAGGTTTGGAGTCATGGGAATATGATGTTTTAAAGTTTTTTTGATGTAAGAGCAATGTTAAAGTATATTTTAAATGGTTCTATGCGGAATTACACGATATCCTTTTTATATATTGTGTATATCGGTGGAGCATGGGTATCATGAGTAGTATGGAGTACTCAGGCTAAACAATCCAGATGACATCTAGGAGTAACACCTTTGAGGCTATGATGACATCTTAAAGTAAATTTTCCTTTTTTTGAGGTTCACATTGTTTGTTGCAGCTGGCTGGAAGGCTCATTCACCAGAATTTATTTTGGAATCACTACTTACATGACTTTATTTTTGGGACACAAGTACGCAATTTTTGTTCAGTATCAGGATTGACTTTAATTTTGGACACAATTTGCTTAATTTTTGGATAATTTTTTGTGTGATTATATTTTATGATCATTTCACAATTTTTGATTTTTTTCTGTTAAGGGGTAGCATATTGGAGAGATATATATAAATACACTATCAAGGGTAAAGGTGAGACTTTATGTTATAGGGTGTTATAGGGTGTGAGCTGTTTTGGGTTTATTTAGGTGGATACTGTAATTATATAGACCTATCAGTGCTGCCAATCAGTGCCACCTAACAGTGTCAGTCAGTGCCACCTAACAGTGCCAGTCAGTACTGCCTGTCAGTGCCACTTATGAGTGCTGCCTATCAGTGCCATATATGAGTGCTGTCTGTCAATGCCCATCAATGTCAACTTCCAGTGCCTCATCAGTGCCCTTCAGAGCCACCTATCAGTGCCCATCACTGCAGCCTCATTAGCACATATCAATGAAGGAGAAAAATCACTTATTTACAACATTTTATAACAAAAACTAAGAAAAAACTATTTTTTTTTCAAAATTTTCAGTTGTTTTTGGTTTGTTTAGCAAAAAATAAAAAACCCAAAGGTGATTAAATACCACCAAAAGAAAGCTTTTTCCGTCTCAAAAAAAATTATAAAAATTTCATATGGGTACAGTGTTGCATGACTGCGCAATTGTCATTCAAAGTGTGACAGCGCTGAAAGCTGAAAATTGGCCTGGACAGGAAGGGGGTATAAGTGAAAGTTTCTCCTGTCCCTTCCGCTGGCTTTCAGCTGCTGCAGTGAAAGACATACAGGGGATCAGTTCCAGTGATTGCCCCCCCCCTGGCTGCATCCATCACCCTCCCTGTGCACCATATGTTTCCCCCCGCTGCCCAGGACCCCCCTGTGTGCCTTCACCCTTGCAGTGCTGCCGGCATCTCCTTCCCACCAGCAGCTGCAAGCACACAATAGGATCCTTCAGGATGGAGATCAGGGGAAGGGTCCGGTAAATATGTCACATTTACCAGCCTCTTCCTTTCCTGAATGAACACAACAAGTGTTCAGTACTGATCGCTCACTGTGTTCATTCATAAACCAACGTATAGTAAACTGTGTTTCTTTTGGAAAGGACCCTGTCAGGTTGGCTGTATGGGGCTCCGTGGTTTCTAACAGCTGCCCTGGCTGCAAGGAATACATGCTAACCATTAGGCCATGATACTGCCCCTATGAACTTTTATTTCCATAAAGTGAGCATAGTCTTTAATTTTCCAATGGTATTCATTAATCTTGTTTGTATTTTTTTCTAATATACAGTCAAAGCAGAACATAAAAGAAATGAAATATTCACTACAGACAAATGAACTCATGTCTTATTTTGATGAAAATGGGGAACAAATCAGCCACTTCAAGATAACAAACAAATTATTCATCGACAGTTTGGATATAATTGATGTGGATGTTGGAAATTTTACCCCATGGGCAGCAGAGGGTCAGCAACTCTTCATCAATTCACAAGCCATAACGTGGAAACACAACCACCAGGTATGCCTGTTTATACTCATTGTTATATGGAGAACTAGCAAATGGATATAAACATAGTGTAGTAAAAGTGTTGAATGTACAAAAGAGCATGTGACTCTTGGTAAGAGCTGCATGAAAGAGAAGGACATTTTACAAATGGAAAACTGTCTGCTATTTGTAATAGACGGCTTATTGCTCTATGCAGGACTTGTTATTGGATGGAAGTGAACCTGTCCTGCTTCACCTTGACATATTTTTGGAAATCATTTACAGATTTAGAAGAGTTTTTGATGTGTCAGCTAAATCATCGGGGAATGCCAAATCAGGGCTTGTGGGGCGGGTTTGGCAATTTAAGATTTTTTTCAAGTCTTTTAAAAGGGTGAGAGAACGATAAAATACACCAAAATACCCCCAAATACCTAACAGTGTAAAGTATCTTAACATTGATAAATATGGTATTTTTTACACCTAAAACATCTCCACTAATACCATACTACACCCAAAAACAAATGAAAAGACACGCAAACAAAAACAAAGGAAATGCTCTGTTTTTTGTGTCTTCCCAGCAATCCTGTTAGTAACAGCGATTCTTGTTGCTAAACCACTGTATCACAAATAGCAGCAGCATTGTCAGCCTGCTGTTCAGGTTCACCTTTGGGCTGCCCATCAGGATCAGGATTAGGATCACTAGTTAAGAATCTTGTAACAGCTGATAAAACTGTATACAGTGAAACACAATGCAAACATAAAAATGGATTAAAGTGATTCTCCTGGGGTCCAAAGCTGGTGCTCTTGGCTCCTCCTCTTCTCCATGTGCCATAAGAGAAAGCCACTTTCTATGGTGGCTCCCATGCGGGCTCAATCCCTAGCCAGGCTGTGTGTGTCTATAGACACACAGTGTGACTTGGGCTCACCTCCTGCTCCCCCATCACTGGTTTTGATTGATAGCAGCAGGAACCAATGGCTTCCGCTACTGTGGGGATGGGGGGAGGTGACAATAGAAGATTTTTATCTTAATGCAGAGAATGCTTTTAAGGTAAAACACCCTTCAGCCATTACAACCACTTTAGAGGTTTATACTTTTCAATTATTTTTCACGGTCAGTGAATCATTTAAACTTGTTTATAAAATATTTTTGGGCCCGAGTCCCTTCCAGCTAGTTGATCTATTCAGAACACCAGCTAGGATACATACAGATATCAGTGATACCTTTTTATTAATAATTATTTGTTGTTCGTATGTTTACCAGACCTTCCGAATATTGGAAATAATTGGCATTATACTTGTTCTGCTTCGCGTTATTGAACTGTTGTATAACACTAGTCAGACAGTCTAACAATAATTCAGAAGTCAAGAAACGTGAGACATCAGATCTGTATGTATTCTTTGTTCTGAATAACTTTATAAAACTACAACATAAGCACAAACAAAACATACAGTTGTGTCCAAAAATTATTCAACCCCCACTGAAATTGAGTGTTTTGGCCAGTTTGACATTGCTTTTGATCATTCAGTCATCTTGCTTACATTTACATTAAAGAGGCACTTGTAGGTCAGACAAATATAACATAACAGTTATAATGAAAATAACCACAAATGTCTTTTCTGTGCTCACAGCATTATCAGTTTTATTCAACCCCCAAGTGACATTCAATCTTAGTACTTAGTACAGCATCCTTTTACAGTTATAACAGCTTTTAAACGTGAAGCATAGCTTGACACAAGTGTCTTGCAGCGATCTACGGGTATCTTCGCCCATTCTTCATGGGCAAAGGCCTCCAGTTCAGTCACATTCTTAGGCTTGCGCACTGCAACTGCTTTCTTTAAGTCCCACCAGAGGTTCTCAATCGGATTTAAGTCTGGTGACTGCGATGGCCACTCCAAAATGTTCCAGCCTTTCCTCTGCAACCATGCTCTAGTGGACTTGGAGGTATGCTTGGGATCATTGTCCTGTTGAAAGGTCCAACGTCTCCCAAGCCTCAGGTGTGTGACGGACTGCATCACGTTTCCATCCAATATCTCCTGGTACTGAAGAGAATTCATGGTACCTTGCACACGCTGAAGCTTCCCTGTACCTGCAGAAGCAAAACAGCCCCAAAGCATGATTGACCCTCCACCATGCTTCACAGTAGGCAAGGTGTTCTTTTCATCATAGGCCTTGTTCTTCCTCCTCCAAACATAGCGTTGATCCATGGGCCCAAACAGTTCTAATTTTGTTTCATCAGTCCACAGAACACTATCCCACAACTTTTGTGGTTTGTCCACATGGCTTTTGGCATACTGCAGTCGACTCTTCTTATTCTTTGGAGACAGCAAGGGGGTACGCCTGGGAGTTCTGGCACGGAGGCCTTCATTACGCAGTGTGCGTCTTATTGTCTGGGCTGAAACTTCTGTACCCACATCTGACAAATCTTTTCTCAGTTCCTCAGCAGTCACACGGGGACTTCTCTCCACTCTACGCTTCAGGTAGCGCACAGCAGTCGAAGTCAGCATCTTCTTTCTGCCACGACCAGGTAGCGTTTCAACAGTGCCCTTTGCCTTGAATTTGCGAATGATGCTTCCTAAGGTGTCTCTTGGTATGTTTAACATCTTTGCAATCTTCTTATAGCCATTGCCCTTCCTGTGAAGAGAAATCACCTCTTCTCTTGTCTTCCTGGACCATTCTCTTGCCTTCACCATGTTTGTAACCACACCAGTAAATGTCTAGAAGGAGCTGAGTATCACAGTCATTTTAAAGCTGCCTAATTGGTGCTTATTATGCTTGAT